TCCTCTGCATTGGGCATTGGAGTTGACTCTGTCGCCATCTTCCTTGTTTCATCCACACTTTGATCGGGTGTCTCTAGATCAATCTCGATGGTGGGTTCTACTCGCTCCCCTTCCGTGCCCTCTTTCGCCCTGTTCTCCGCTGTACTCCTTGTGCTGACCATGTTAACTGAAAAGTTCGTCTTCGTTATCTTTGGGCCCGTTGATGTCGTTCCGCGCAGCGATGAATTATATTTCGTGTTTGATCCACTTGACCTTTTTTCGAGCACCGGTACCCTACTCCGCCTCATTATTTCTATTTACAACTGCTCCTATTTACAATTTTATTATATACACGATTCTATTCTAAGGGTAAAAAAAAATATTTTTTGTGGTAACAAATTCTGTACAACGTGTTAAAAACCTTATCCAATTCTCTTTCTAAAATCTCCGAAAAACTTTCCTTAATTTGGTCTTAACCGTACCTATTTCGATTTGTCTTATTCTGTCTTAAGACACACTTGTTGTGATTCTACTTCAATTTTTATACCGTCCCAAGACTATTCGTCACTATCACAGTACTCTCCGCTAGTGTCCTAAGACCCTTGTACCAAGACTACTGTCCCAAGACTAGTGTCCCAAGGCTAGTGTCCCAAGACTACTGTCCCAAGACTACTGTCCCAAGACTAGTGTCCCAAGGGTAGTGTCCCAAGACCAGTGTCCCAAGGCTAGTGTCCCAAGACTAGTGTCCCAAGGCTAGTGTCCCAATACTACTGTCCCAAGACTAGTGTCCCAAGGGTAGTGTCCCAAGACCAGTGTCCCAAGGCTGGTGTCCCAAGACTACTGTCCCAAGGCTAGTGTCCCAAGACTACTGTCCCAAGACCAGTGTCCCAAGACCAGTGTCCCAAGGCTAGTGTCCCAAGACTAGTGTCCCAAGACCCTTGTCCCAAGACCACTGTCCCAAGACCACTGTCCCAAGACCCTGTCCCAAGACCACTGTCCCAAGACCCTGTCCCAAGACCACTGTTCCAAGACCCTGTCCCAAGACCCTGTCCCAAGACCACTGTCCCAAGACCCTGTCCCAAGACCCTGTCCCAAGACCCTTGTCCCAAGACCACTGTCCCAAGACCCCGTCCCAAGACCACTGTCCCAAGACCCTGTCCCAAGACCACTGTCCCAAGACCACTGTCCCAAGACCACTGTCCCAAGACCCTGTCCCAAGACCACTGTCCCAAGACCCTGTCCCAAGACCACTGTCCCAAGACCCTGTCCCAAGACCACTGTCCCAAGACTGCTCTGTCCCAAGACTTCTTCGGTACTGTCCCAAGACTCGTCACGGAGTGTCTTCCTCGTTGTAGGGTCTTCTTGAATCACCGTACCTTGTACCACCACTCAAGCTCTAGTAAAATTTTCCCAAAAACCCTCTCTTAAAAGCCAAATGCTGACCCCCCTCTTCTTTTTGGTTGTTTCTATTTCAATGTAGGTGCGCAGGTATCTTGTGATCACCTGTTCGTATAAAACCAAACACAAATCCTCACTAAAATGCAACAAAAATCTAAGTAAGAAAAATAATAAAAACAGAAAAATGAGCCCACCTGAAATTCAAAGGTGACCAATGTCTACCTTTCGTCGAAAAAAATGTCTGGTACCTAATTGCCACGCGTTTTCCTCCCCCCACTAGTGATCTTATGGGGTTTCACAAAAGCTGTTTATATCCGGTCCCCCCTACCAAACCAACCAGCGTACCAGTCTTAACTCGAGTTGAATTTTGGATCTCCACCTAATATTACCAACGCGTGTTAATTTCTAATGTAACTAAGTCAACGATGTCGACTAATTAGTTACTCTAATTTCCCCCTTTTTACAATTTACAACCGCCAACCTCTAACTTAACCAGTCCCCCTTCTAACCTCCCCCCTTTCTAGCCCCCCTTCTTAAGCCTAAAAATTACTTTAAGCGCCGGGTGCTAAACCTCTCAAGAGAAAACCGTAGACCTGTTTCCAGGCCTGCTCAAGTAAAAACGTTCCTCAAAACTGGGGGATTTCGCTTATCCAATTTTACCCTTATCTCCTATAATGTAATGTGGATTCTAACGATACCCGTTCTGCCCAACTTGAGAACTCGAGAATTGCCAAATCCTTCTTGGCTGCTTTCCCACTCGACTGGTCACCTGTTCCAGTCCAGTCTCCTATTGGTTCAGCTCAAGTGTCCCTGAACCACTTTCCCACTCGGCTGGTCACCTCTTCCAGTCAAGTCTCCTATTGGTTCAGCTCAAGTGTCCCTGAACCACTTTCCCACTCGGCTGGTCACCTCTTCCAGTCAAGTCTCCTATTGGTCCAGCTAAGTTCCAAGCTATCTGAAAACCCTTGACGACGCCCCACTTCGGGCACTTTATTCAGTTTACTGGTTTAAATTGCTAGGTTGATCGAAACGATCGAACTTGTAAAACAGTATGGGTATACTATTTAATTAAAATAAAGGTTTGATCCAACTAATCTGGTGTCAAAGTCACTGTCTTTTTTCGTTTTATGGTTTTTGTTCCTTTTTCTATTCTTTTTTTGGTTTTTGTTTTGCTTTTTGTCTTTTTGCTCGTGTTTTTGTCTCCCTAGTTGCCCCCTTTACTCGGTTAGCTAAGCCTCGTTCGGAGAGCGTACCAGGAAATTTTCTCGAGTTTTCTTAAAAAGCTATCACGGTACAACCGGAAGGTTTGCACGTTCCTGTCGAACCGTACCGCCGGTACTCTAGAATGGGCATTCAGCCCGAAGCTGTCTCAAGTGGGTTCGACTCCGTAGTCTTGATGTCGTAAACACCCAGGAGCGCCATAAAAACACTATGTAACATTCGTCTACTGCAGTCACACATGAGGCTTAAGAAAAATAGGCCCTATAACCACTGGCTCAAGGGTCAGGGACACTATCTCTTGTGTTTTTCTACCTCAAGAACGGTCGGAGCCAGTTCGGTTCGCTTGTGACATGAGACTACGACCCGTTACAGCTTAAAGGCTACTACTAAAATATCCCCCCACTCTAGAATTAGAAACGTCCCCATACTTAGGTCTCTAGATACCCAAAATACATGAACGCCGTTAAAAACCGGGTTGGAACAATCCGTTAAGTTGCTTTTTTATTAGACAGTGGAACTTTGATCCATTTCAGATGGATCAACCTAAAACTCGCCTTACCTCAACATAACAATCATAAAACACACTCTAGGAATTTAAATTTGTACTCACATAGTAGCACGCTCAAGAAGTGGGAAATAATCCAGTCGGTAATTAACTCAAGAATTAAATAACGCAACTAAATGAGTCTAATGTTTTATAGTTTTAACAATGAGAACGAGTTTATACTCTAGACAATAGTTTTCTTGTGAACCATTAGGACACTCAAGCTGTCCACCTTTCCACCAAAGGTTCACTCTAGTCCAGTTCCGAATAATACTCCAGTCGTTATAATCCAATTCGAGGGAATGCTCTCGTCTCTGTCACAGATGGGACAGCTCTACTCTCGATTATTATAGTGATGGAAATTGCGAATAGCAATTTCCTACTGCTTTTTCTTGCGACTTTCCCGCGTTTTCGACTCAATTGTTCTGAAATTGTTCTGATCTCTTTTTCTGATTTTCAGTTCTCGCGAGAAAATCGTGCATGACAGGTTCCATTCGAAATTTTGAAAAATTAAATTTCACTCCAAAATCAAGTGTTTTTTTTGCTTCTCTCAAGGTCAAACTTCCAAATATGACCGACTGGCACAAGACTTGACTGGATGAGGTGACCAGCCGAGTTGGAAAGTGGTTCACAAGGATCGAACCGGACCACTAGGAGACTTGACTGGAAGAGGTGACCAGCCGAGTGGGAAAGTGGTTCAGAAGGACTGAGCTGAACCCACTGGAAACTTGACTGGAATTTGGTACTTACATAGCAGCACACTTGAGAAACAGAGTAATTAAGCTAATTAATAACTCTAGCATGAATATAGTTGATTATAACTCAAGAAGTTTTCTAACAATGAGTTCCAATCAAGGAAATGAGTTTTAATTCAAGAATGTAGTTTTGGATCTGAACCATTGGGAGACTTCAGTTGTCCACCTTTCCATTGATGGTTCACTCTGTTTCAGCTGAGTCTTGATTTGCTCTTGTGATTGTTCTGTCTCCTATATGAGATAGGACAGCTGTACTCTCGTTTTCTACGACGGAAATTGCGAATAGCAGTTTCCCACTGTGTTTATTTGACAACTTTCCCGCAATTGTAATTCGGTTGTTCTGATTTTATTTTTGATGTTTTCAGTTGTCGCGAGAAAACTGAGCGTGACAGGCTCCAATCGAATTTATGAAAAATTAAACTTCATTCCAAAACCACGTATTTCGTGTTCCTCAATGTCAAACTTCCAGATATGACCGACTGGCACACCAGATATTTTTGTGGTTCTTTAACATCGGGTCGACAAAATCGTTACTGTTTTGGGTTTCGGTCATACGCTCAGATTAACTTAATTACATGCAAAAATAGTGAGCTCATGGCTGGGTCTCAGTATCCCCACACCACGAGGTCACTCCTGAAAATAGGGCTACTTGCTCTTTTTTTTTCGTTTTAAAAAACTCGATATCTCAAAAATCGCGGTTTGTGGTGGGATCAAAATCTCACTATTTTGACCCAAAAAACCAGTCTGTTTACTTTTTTTTTCAATTTTTTGAAAAAAAAATGGGATACATAGTTTAAACTCTAGATAATAATTTTTACTCTTTATGCTAGCGGACAAAATTAATTGCAAATTAACGTATTTAATTTCTGAAATTATTAAATTGCAAGAGCCATTTTGGACGAAAACTAATTTGAACTTTACTCAAGCTTTCACATCGACCGACTGCAATTATCCAAAACTACCCTCAACTGACTGCAAACATTGGGCCTCTTTTTTTTTACTTCTGTTTCCATAAACCATTTGAATTTTCCTGCTTTTTGTTTCTTAATTTAAGCAAGGTCATAAGACAGTCTGAGCGTGTATGTGATTTATTTTGTTAGAAAAATCACTATTTTTCAGAATTTGTAATGGTCAGTTCTCGGCAGTATTTGAAGTGGGAACCCCATTCAACTCTGGGAGCTGTGTATTCTTCTGGAACAGATTGCATACTGATTGGAAATGATAGTGTGCTGCTGGCAGCATGTGAAGTAGTACATCTTTGGAGTTTGCGAAGTAAGTCTATACTCAGAAGCTACCGCGCAGATTCGTTCGCACGAGTTAACAAGTTGTCAAAAGGTGGAAATGAACTTGCTGTTGGATACAGTGATGGGAAGATTAGGTTGTTCAGTTTCGAAGCGACAAGTTGTTTAGCAGTACTATGTGGGCACAAGTCGGAAATAACAGCTCTCTCATTTAATTTAAAAAGTACTCTTCTTGCAAGTGGGGGCAAAGACACAGCTGTTATCATATGGGACGTAGTGAACCAGGCTGGACTTTTCAGACTTCTAGGACACACGGGAAGCATCACAGAAACCCTCTTCGTTGAACGAGAAAATTTTATCGTTACAAGCTCAAAAGACTGTCTGATTAAGTTCTGGGACTTAAATATACAGCAATGCACTCAAACAATTGTGGGGCACAAAACAGAAGTCACATGTGTTGCATTGTTGCAAGAAGACACAATTTTGGTCTCCGGGTCACAGGACGCTGAGCTTAGGTTCTACTCTCTAAATTTTTCAAAAACTTCAATCGAAACGACCGAAGATGATTGTAGTAAAACTCATAATTCGGTAGAAGTTCAAAAGCTTGGATCAATCCTGCGCTCTCAGACCAACAGTGTTCTATCTTTGAAGCGAAAAACAGAGTCTAAGAATTGCTTCTACTGTTTAACTCAAAAATCGTCGTTGTTGGAGATGTTTGAGATCCGTACTGACGAGGAGCTGGATCTTTTGAAGAAGAAACGAAGCAAGAAACTGAGAAAAGCAGCCGAAAATCAGGATGAAGAAATGGAAATCGAAGTGACATTGGAGTTTTCAGACCATGTTAAAGTTCAGCCAACTGTGTCTTTTTCACGGGTCATTAAAAGTTTTGATCTCGTCAGGTCGGGGAGGAAAGTTTTCGTATGCGCTGGTCTTTTGAATAATAATATTGAGTGTAAACTTGTAAACGACACGTCATCTGAGGGTGCTCAAACGCTTGACCTTTTAGGTCACAGGTCCGAAGTGCGTTCCATCTGCATAGCAAATGATAGCTCACTCATAATTTCAAGCTCTAAAGAAACTACTAAAGTGTGGAGCAAAGCAAAATCTTCATGTATCAGAACTATTCCGAGTGGTTATGCGCTTTGCAGTTTAGTTGCTCCAGGAAACCGTCACGTGATCTCCGGAACCAAATCGGGTAAACTGTACATCATGGATCTTGGTAATAGTGATGTTACAAACATTATTGATGCACACATGGGGGAAGTATGGGCACTGGATCAATTTTCAAACATGAAGGGAGTAATAAGCGGAGGTTCCGATAAGTGCCTGAAGTTCTGGGACTACGTGCTTGAGCCAGGGGAAAATGAGAAACTTGAACTTAATTTATCTCTTGCACGGAAGCTGGACATGGAAGAAGATGTATTAGCTATCAAAGTGTCCTTTGATGGCAAGTATATTGCAGCTGCCCTGTTAGACAACTCAGTTAAAGTAAGTAATGCAATTCACCTTAATTTACGCATCGTGTTAGTCCACTTTCCTTGTTTTTGTGTTTTTAATCTCATTGTCGAATAAACATGTGTAGGTTTAGCATCTATCGATCAATATATCCCTCTATTTTTACGTTATTTATTATCGTTATTTTCGCGTGACACTTGTTTAAGAAGTACTTTTGTTGACACTTTAAAATGCCAATATACTGCAACGTTTCAATTGTTCAAAGTTTTTACACTTGCGAAAGCAAGTGTCTTGTAATCGGGACTTTTTTGCTGTAAACACCTTTTCTTACAAATCTTACTCGCTTTTCTTACAAAACCTTTTGACCTAGAGGTAACGCCGTCACCTTTACACCCTAATATTAGGAGTTTGAGTCCCGGCCGGACCTTGTTTTTTTTCAGTACGTTTGCAATTGGAATTTTCTGTCGGTAAAATTGACTTGTCGAGCTTTCGTTTGTCTGCTCAAGTTTTGTCACTTAGTTGTCACATCACAAATTTTGCTTGTGCTGTAAGCTATTTTCAATGTAGTTGCAGGTGCGAGTGTTGTTCAATATAGTTTCAGGGGACTTGAAAATGTTTTTTTTTGAATATTTTATTCGGCTCTTACGTGTTTGTGCTGAACCGGCGGTGCATGCGAAGGTAAACAAGCTAAACCTTCTTTTCTTGAAATTTAATATTCTTATGTTTTTCTTGTTATCTATCTATATATCTATCTTTTATTTAATTGAGCGAGACGTTTCCAGCCATGTTAAAGAAGTCCCTATGTTGACATGTTTGAGCATGTTACGCTATCTCTACATGTTTTAGCTACAGTCTATTTTTAATAGCTATGCTGTGCAAATAGGTTTAAAAGTTACTGCTAACCTGCGGATTTGCATCAAGCTTGGGTTATGCGCGTAATAGCACTGTTTTTATTTAAGCCTGCATGTTTGAACTAAATGATGCTTTGTAAGGATGTTTTATTTCAATTCACTTTTTTATATAATTTTTTAAAACTTAAATCCGGGTTATTTTAAGCATTTATTTTGATGCTTGGTGATACTTTTTCGATAATCTACTTCTTTTACAATTATTCTACCAATACTACTCTTGGGTTTGGGCTTCAGTTTTCTATTTAAAAGCTGAATTCCCTCTTGAACTTGTTCGTTGGTTACTGACGCATGGGCTCAGGTGTCCACTGTCTGAAAAGCCTCCATCATTCTCTGCGGGTGGATGGAGGCTATAGGGGCATGGCACAGTTGGTAGAAGCAGTTACCGTAAAGAGAACAATTTCAAGAAAAATGAATGAACTGGCTACGAACTGAATGAAGTTTATTTCGGCAGAGACAGTTTAGGCTGGAAAATAATCGATTATACCGTTCGAAATGGGTTTGTTTGACAGCGCAGGAATACGAAAGGATGTCTAATGTCAGATTTGTCAAAGGTAGCTTTCTGTTAGAAGCGTTTAAATTGATTTTTAATAGTTTAGTTTTTGGTTTCCAATTCAATTACTTTTGCCTTCAAAAATCTATTTTGGCTAGCTAAGTTTCCATTTTGTCCCCTGCTGAATGATCTAGGATTGAGAAAAAATTTTACCAGTCAATTTTTGATTGTTTTTATGTTTGCGGAAAAAAGCTTAGCAATGATTTGTTCATTAGGGTTCAAAAAGGGTTTGCAGCTGTGTGCTATTTTTATTAAATTGTTTTCCCTTCTTTTGTTATTTTTATCTATTCAAACTGTTATGCAGTGAATTGTTCTTTTTAATTTTGTAATTGGAATAAAGTTTTTAACAGGTTACTTCCGTTCTATTCTTTTTTAATGCGTTGCACTGATTTCTTATTCAATTTCAGTTTTGTGTTTCTTCATGTTTTTCATGCAGTATGTTTTTCATGTATGTTTTTCATGCAGTAGACAAGTTTACAATGATTTGTCTACTTTTTGTTTTATTTGAAAGAAAAACCTCGGGCTCCTTTTGTTTAATAAAAAAGCTTTCCAATCAATTATCTTTTTTCACAAAAAATTCAAGGATTTGTTAATTTCCGTCATGCTACAAACGGTTATTCAGTGATTTTTTTTGATGTCATGTAATTTAAATAAAGTTCTCCTTTTATTTTTTTAGTGATGTTTTCGGTACTTGATTCGGTATGATCCCCTGATTTTTTGAATGCGTTTTAAAATTGTATTATGATTCAAGCTTTTTCAAAATCTATCCGCTCTTTAGAAAAAAATGATAATCGTATGATCTTTAAAAAAAACATTTGGAAAAAGTAAAGGTTATTTTCGATTTCTGATTGATTCTGCTCTAATCATCTTTGTAATGCTGATTCAGCCCTATCTCTTGATAATTCCCCTAACTTATAGAAACGATGTCCAGTAGTTTCTCATTTCGGTGAAAAATTGGTTGATATTTTTCGGAAACAAAACAACCGATTTATGATCAATCACCTTTTCTTGTTTTGCTGTTTTCTTGGGTACGCCTAGTGTCTAATTCAATGTTGTAAATTTTCTAAGCCTGTGTTGCTCGAACAACTGATTTTCTGGAATTTGGGAGATATAAATGTAACTTCTTCGAAAAAGAGGGTTTTTTTTATGCAGTTTTGTTTCAAATATGTTTAATAAATTTTCTGTAAAAGACACACTGTCATCATTATTTTGAGCTCTGCATAAATTTTTGCATGAGCTTCTTGACTGTGAAGCAGTTGTGATTCGAAATATCAAAATCATTTTCTTCGTTCAACATTATTTCCTGTGTTTTTCTTGCTTATAATTAAGATAATCATTTAAAATGCAGAAATTTCTGCACTGGATCGCTAGTTATTTGGATTTTTTGATACTCATGGAAAAACGAGCGAAAGAATCTGGGGCCTCAAAGTCCATTGGCTTTGATTTCTAGTCTAGCTTCATCAGTGTTAGATGATTTTTTGACAAAGCTTTCGTCTTGCAATGACTGAAGCTTGGGCTCGATTTTGACGTCAAAGCTATCCTCGTCCATCAGTTTGCCATAGAATCTCTGATTTTGTTGTGTCTATTATGTGTGTAACCTCCTTTGGCGGAGTGGAGAATTATTTCAGGCTGATTGGGTTTCCGTATGCACATTTAGTGGGAGTGTTGACTAATTCCCAACCATATTGCTGGTAAATCCTGTCTCTGAACTCTGATTTCTTCAGATTGAAATTGTGTTTCAATCTGAACAAACAGGACCGCAAGCGAATAGGCGAGATTTGTAGTTTACCCGGAAGATTTTTTTTGCATATAGTTTTGCTGTTGTTTGTCTTTTTAAAAAATTGATAACTAACACTTCAGATGAGGCACAATAATTTATGCGAGTTGAAAATTGATTGTATACTTTTGTTTCCAAATGGATTTAGTTAAGGGCCGAGAATTTAGATAGTTTGACGCCCCGTCGTTTGAAGCCTAGATCACCGTGTAGTTTATTTTCGCGAGGATTTTCCTTGATTCTTTTCTCTTTTACGTTCCAAGAGTCCTGTTTTTTTGCTTTCGTTTTTTTTGGTTCCCTGGTGTTGAAATGTGATGTTCTTCTTTTGACCATTAGTAGTCGTTGGAATAGTCTATGGGCAGTTTGATTTTGAGGCTGCTCATTTTAAGGGGCGCAGAAAATATTTTTCATGAAGTTATAGCATGATGTATAGCATGATGATATATTTGGTGGCGACTTCTTTGCAAGTTTTGATAGATTGTGTAAGAGATTATTGTGTTGGTTGAGTTGTTTTTCATGAAGTTTCTCGCAGCTCTGCTCGTGTCCAATGATAGATCCAAGCACTCTAGCTCCTTCTATAATTTCAAAACGAGTATTTCACTGCTTCCTCGTGCTGTTCTTCGTTTCGGATAGTTCGGCATTTTGCTGCTCTTATACAATAATCGTGGCTTCCATAGCGAATGATGTTGTTGGCGTGTCATTTACGGTTTACCGGCGTGTCATTTACGGTTTACCCAAGGATCTCGGGTACTTCTGAATATTGGTAGAATGGTGAAACCGTACATCGCTCTTTTGTTGTTCTTCTTCCAATGATACTGTTTTCTTACTAACAAAGAGTTTAGACGGCTTCGAATATTACTTTGGACGGCTTCTGATTTCTTTTCATTGGGGATGATGTCACTGTACTCTTTGGGTTGGCAAATATGACTGCTCAAAATCATATCTTTAACTTCCCGAGAATGATTTAAATTTGAAAGTCTCGACTCTTTGGTGGGGCACTGTTAAGGTACTCCCAGGTTTGCAAATTGTTCAATTCATGGAATAGAAAATGCTGTTGGACGCTTTAAAAATAATGCAATATAGCTTTTTGGGTAATGCAACATAATTCCTCAACAAACGTTTTTCCAAAACTAATTTCAACAGGTTGATGATTTGTTCATGTTTTTTGTTTGTTCCAGGTGTTCTTCTTTGACACTTTGAAGTTCTTCCTCAACCTATACGGTCACAAACTGCCAGTAGTGAGTATTGACATCTCCTCTGACTGTCAGCTTCTAGTCAGCGGATCGGCCGACAGAAACATGAAGATATGGGGTATGGATTTCGGAGACTGTCATCGATCTCTTTTTGCACACGAAGACAGCATAACTTGCGTCCGATTCCTCCCGAAGACTCATTTCATTTTCTCGTGCGGTAAAGATGGTCTAATCAAACAGTGGGATGCGGATAAATTTCAACTGATTCAGACGCTGCGCGCCCATTTCAAGAGCCCAGCTTGGACGCTAGCAATTTCACCTGATGGAGACTTCGTAGTCAGTTCTGGAGCCGACAAATCCTTGAGAATCTGGGAGCGGACCATGGAACCTTTGATAATAGAGGAAGAGCAAGAAAACGAACGTGAGCTAGAATTTAATAAGGAAATTGAGGACAATTTAGACAGAGATGAAGTTGAATTGTCGAAGGAAACAGAAACCACGCTAGCGTCAAGAAAGACCGCTGAGACATTAAAAGGCGCGGAACTTCTGATGGAGCGATTAGAAATATGTGAACAACAATCTGCAGGCGAACTTGTGCCTATCTTGCAGGCTTTGGGAACTACCTCGAATCAATATCTGCTTGACGCTGTGTCAAAAATAACCTCAAGCGAAGTAGAGCAAAGCTTAATGATGCTGCCGTTCTCTTATGCGACGCGATTGATCGAATTGTGTTGCAAAAATTTTATAGCTCATGGTCTGAAAATTGAAACAAATTGCAGAATCGTTTTGTACTTGGTAAGAATTCATCATGCGAGGATCGTTTCAAATGAAGAGTTGTCGGCTTTAGTTTTCTCTTGCAAATCAACTTTGCAAACTCAGATTAAATTATTTAAAGACAGAATAGCGTTTAATACTTTTGCATTACAGTACCTGAAATTTCAGATAGAGGCGAAAGAAGAGACGAGATTATTTGCAGATGCAACGGAAACATTCAAAGAGAAAAGCAAGCGCAGAAGAAAACGCGACAAAGCGAAAGCTGTGATTACTGTTGTATCATGAAGTTAAAAGATAAAAATTGCCACCAAATAATTGAACTCTTCAATTGATGTTTTTCTCCCTAAGTCAGGAGGAGCTTGTCTAGTGCGCCCATGAAATGTGGATGTTTTCTATTTTGCTGAATAACATTTGCGGTAACTTGGGTTTTATAATCGAGTACTATATGTTTTCCAGAGCAGTTCACATTCAAATAAGCATGATGCAGATCAATTCATACTCGTCCATCCGTTTGCTGACTGCTGCCTTTATAAGCACCTGGAACGGTTACGCATCTAATGATGTCTTCAATTTTGAAAATGAGGATTGAATTTAGAAAAAATCAGCTTTTACTTTTTTTCATAGATAGAAGATCATTTCTATGTATATATGTAATTGAGTAACTGGGTAACTTTTCTTGATTTTGGGCTATACTTTATACAACAAGTACATGCCTTGTTCGTAAAGTACATAAGTTGAAGAAAAAACCTACTACAAGAGCGTGCAATTAGCGAAGTTGTAAGGCGAAAGTTCTGTATTGCAATTTTGGGCCGAAAATGAATGTTGCTAGTTTTTTCAGATGCGATTAACTTGTTTAACTTGAAAATGAATAGTTAATGTTTTCAAAACTCAATTCTTTTCTTCTAATTTTTTTTACAAAAAGTTTACCGGTAATCATTCAAGTTATCGGTCAGCGTCGTGAAGTTGAATACCCGTGGCTGATCCTAGAAAAAATTACTAGCGTAAGTTGACGTGGGTATTTTTCTATAATTATCGTGATTCTTACATTTGTCTCGAGATTTATGATTTTCTTGGATTTCATTTTTTTTTTCATTTCAAAATAGTCATTTTGTTCTCAGTTTGATTTTTTTGGGTTTTTCTTTTTAATGACAAAATTTCATCTGAATGTGTTTTTAATTCGTTTTTAGCAACTTTAGCAACTTTTTAGCTTCAAAATTAGGTTCGAGCAACTTCTTTGTAATTGCTTTGTCTATTGTTGCAAATGTCCAAAATTGTTAAAACAATTTGAAGTTTCCGTAATATTTTTTCAATTGAACCTGAATGCTTATTTTTTGAGAAGAATTTGGCAAAAGTAGCACGAGAGTCAAAAGTATGTTTGTTTCTGTTTGATGATTTTTTTTGAAAATGTGAGTTTGTGCTTTTTTTCATGAATGTTTTTTGTAGTTGTTCGGACCGTTGATAATGGAGAGGAACTTTGTGTTCGGGTGTGTTTTGAATTTCTGTTTTCCAAGCAAAATCAGTTACCACAAATAATCATCGGATTGGGTTGAGTAATATGTCATATCAAAGCCTTTTTAATCGTGATTGTCCCAGTATGAGAAAAACAGGTTTGAAATTTTTGAATTTTAGTCTATATTCGAGCGAATAAAGCGAGCGAGCAGGTTTTCAACTTTTTTAAAGACTATTGTAAAATCATTCTGTGCTTCTTTCACAGTAACCGGTTATTCTTGTTTATTTTTCATTTTGTGTTTTTTCAATCGTTGTGTAGAAAATTTATATTTGATGAGATTTATCCAATCGGGTGGTTTTCAAAGTTTTTTTTTGCAGTTTTCATAGATTAGTTTTGTTTTCGAATTCGTTTAAATTCAAAACTATTCCATAGACGTTTTGGGCTGGTTAGAAGATTCAGGACTGTGTGTGTGTTGTATCGCAAGTTTTGCCAAGCTCCGATTCGTCTCTGTGACAATTAAGGTCAATTCAAGGTGATTAACTGTTTTTCAGATAGTCTAAATTGGGTAGGATAGCACACAGGAGAATGAGATGTGATGCCTCTTAGAAGGCGTCCTAAATTTCCAGACGAGCATCATCGATTCAAACCCTCTGCCACTAACTCAAGTTCAATTGAAACCGAATCATCACCGCACAGTAGTATACACTGTGTCAAACTCACCAATAGCAAACCGGTATTTGGTCATTCGCCGGACAAGAAAGCGCCAAATTATCTGATGGAACAGTATATGACACAGCCGTATGAGCAAAACTCATTTAATGGTGAAGCAAATTACGGCCAGAATATCGACCAAGAACAATGGGATCAGTGGCAAAGTCAATGGCAGCAATGGTATGCCATGCAGCAGCAGCAATATTCTCAAGGTCATGATTATCAGACTAGTAATAATGTTACTAATCATAACCAACTAAATGATGAAAATGACAAAATTAATGCGAATAACCAATACTGGTATTCCAATTCCAAAAACGGATATTCGAATTCTGCCGGTGATGAAAGTGAAGTCAGCAATATTTTGGAGCAGGAACATTTCTCATCAAATCATCAATTAGCATCATCAGTATCAGCAGAAACGACAAATTCATACCGTCCTATTTCCAATTCGGACTCAACAACAAGTCTATTGTGCGAGCACAGACAAGCGACGGTAACGCAACCGTACGAAGCGCACTATCATTATGCATGTCCTGATTGCGGAGGGTCAGGATACTATGATGGTACTGGCAAGGTCTACTCTGATCTTAGTTTTCTCAATGGTGCGTTAAGCTCAGAAACTTCGGCAAGAAGTGAGGCTTCAGAGCCTTTAAATCAAAATTTTAAGAAGCAACCAGAAAACTCAGTATCAGTTTCAACTACAAGTTCGAATGATTATTCACTTATAAATAACCTTAACGGTACGTTGTCTTATAGAACGCAAGATAATACGCAATGTAATCAAATCACCTCATTACAAAATAATAGTTATTCAAACTCGGCGTGGGGAGGGGAAACGTCGACAAACACGGAAAAAGAAGAAAATTTTGTTCATCAAGATAGCTGGTTGGGTTGGGGTAGCGGCTGGGAGTACCAAAGCTTTCAAAGGCAAGAAAATGAGAGTTTTTATGGCAGCATGCCTCAAACGGAGATTCGATTAGAAGACCGGCGTCAGCTTCATGATTCGATTCCACAAAATGGCAGCGACGGTCGAATTGAAGGCTTGACAGAAACTGAAAATAATCAAACTGAATCTATTAACGACAGCCTTTCTGAACAGTCGGAAACTTCTGATATACCTAATAAGGAAAGTGTACACAATGACTTGAAGTTGCCAAGTGGTGTCGTCGTTGAAAATGACAACATTGACGTGAATTCAGTGAGTAGCGAGGCGTCAAATGACTGCAATGTCCTAACAGAACCCCTCTCGGAACCGATTTCACAAAGCAGTGGGGGCGACCGGTCAAATAACGAAGACACGGTGAAAAACGAAATGGATGTTTTCGATCACATCAATTCTGATTTCCAAGCTGCGATCAATATGTACAGCTCAGAATACCCGACGCCATCTTATGAGCAAACTTCTGTTCATGATCATTCTCTGAGTAGAACTGAGCCCGACGTATGGGAGATATCGCAAGGGTCTAATGCTTTCGAATCCACATCAGAGCGAAAGTTGGATACTTCCGGAAGTCAGAATTTGAATTCTGAGAATCATTGTGAAAGTAATTTGGCAGCTGAAGTGTGGGGCTGGTCCATGGATTTCGACGAATTTCACGCTGAACAAGTTGAATTCGAGGCTTCAAATGAAGAAGTTAACCCAGACATTAAAGAATCCAGCGAGACGAATAATAATCTTGAACAAAACCACGAGCTGACAGATAACAATCTTGGAAATCAAATGCAACAAAACGAGAACCACTTTGAAAAAATTCTAGAGCCGCCAAGAATCGAATCTTCTGAAGATGCCAAACAATCAAGAAACAGTGGAACTGTGGAGTCTGGTTTAATGGCCGCGAGTGCATCAGATGAAAATCTAACCACGCTATGGAATGACGGTGAAATATCCACTGCCAATGATGTTGAGAATGTCCCAGCCGTTTTTGAACTTGAAAGTGTTCAGAGCTTTCAGAACCAATCTGATGACCTAAATGTTAGCTCCTTTTCGAATCACAACGTACTACCTGTAAGTGAGATAGAAACTGATGTCGAAACGCGTCCAGGAAATGTGAAAATTGAACCAAAAGCAAGTAGATTGGATCTCGAAGCAAGTTCCGAATCTGAACCGTTCACTGTCGACACAGAAGGTCTATTAGATCACAATGTCATAAGCATGTACACGGAGTGTATTGGGCAAATGAAGACAGTCTCACAGGTGTACGCTGAGAGGTACTACCAATGGCAAGCTGCCCATTACTGTCAAGAACACCCGAACCAGGAGACTGAAAACACGAATTGTCAAGTCGAATATCAAACGCAACCGGCCTTCGAATTCAACGGAGATGAAGTCAATCAAAATGAGTACAATGGGAGCGCTTTGAAAAATTCCCATGAGGGTTTGAGCGCAAGTGGCAGAAATGAAAATTGTGAAGTTGATTCAGGTGTGAGTCTACCGGCTGGACCAGGAACTCCTTCAGATGATGGCGTAACCATTGAAACCTCGGAGTCTGGAAAGAAAGTAGAAAGAACAGGGCCGAGGAATGAGCAACCGGATATGACTACTGAGGATTTATGTGGATCCATCCAAGATGCACATGCGAAAGTGAAAGATGGCAAATCGGTCAGGGAGAACCTGCTTCCCGTCGGAGATAACAATGATCTCACTCCAGAAACTACTCCGAGAAGTGAGCGCCAAGAAAATAATGACAATGAGAGACTTATCACTGAAATTATAACAGAGAGAAGAATCCACTTCGAAGACGAATCTCAAGACAGTAAAAGTGATGAGAACTTAGATTGTTCTTGGAATTTCGACAAGTCAAATGGCTCAGTGCAACTAGCCGAAGAAGTTAAGACTAACAAAGCTGACTCGACGAGTTATACGAGTGAAGTAACATTTTCATCTATTCCTACAGAGAACCCAGAACTCGTTATTGGAGTTGATTCAGTTCACACTGACAAGTCATTCCACATCCAAAGTTCGATTCCAAATCAGGCTGTGAAGCATAATGACTCCAGTAAGGACGAATCCGCAGAAGTCGTTTCAGTTCAGTGGGATCAGCACTTTTCTGAAAATTTGAATACGTGGTCTGATTCTCGAACTATTTTCCAATCGGAAACTTCAAACGAAACCGAAATCGAGTCTTCAGTGCAAAATGTTGAAGCGGACAGGTATTCTGGTTACTTTGAAGAGGAAGATACGGCGAACGCTGAAGGTACCTGGAATGAACCGGAATGGAATTTAGAGTACGATTCAAGTGCTGAACAGAAATCGTGGCTGGTTAATGAAGACTACAGTGATGCTCCATTGGTCCATGGTAAAAATGAAGTTGAATTGAAACCCGAAGATGAAATTGAAATCGAGTTGACGGATATCATTGAAAAGAACGAATTTAATCAGTACAGCTCAGATTCCATGAACACAGTACGATTTGTTGAAGACGAAAATCAGGATGCAGGAGTTGAAGAGAGCTTCAAACAAAACGTCCCAGTGGAGCTACCTGAGTCTTCAACTGGTTGGGGAGATTCTTACGATTGGGAAACTAATTTTGACGCAGATGTATCAGAGAGCTTGCATCAAGATACAGGAAAAGTCAGACTTACAAATAACGAGGACGTCCAATTCCTGAAGTCAAATGTCGATACTGTTCCTCAATTTACCTCTGAAAATGTTCAAAATCAGAAGGATACTCAAATGACAGTTGCGAATCAAGAACATCATGAAAATCTGTTCCAGAGCATTGAAGTGACAGATAGTTGGAACGCGTGGGAAGGGTGGGAGGAACCTACGCTATTTAGCAATAAACATACAGATTTCTGGGAATCAGAGGAGCAAAACGAGATCAAAGAGAGATCTAAAGAGGTCGAAACTCTTGGAGATATATACTCCCCGCATAATTACCCAGTGAATGCTGAAGTTGAAAGTTCATACCAGAGCGATGCTGCGTGGAACAACCCCACACTTGACGCTGCTTACGCTCAACTTGAAAGAAATCCAAAACGAGAACTAGAAATCGAAGCAGCTGAAGTACAACTGCAGTTAGGACAGGATATGCTTAATACAAGCTGGGAAACAAATGGTATCAACGAAATCATTAGAAATGATGATACTGCTACGGGTATACAGGACAAAAGAAATGTTTACAGCAAAGAGTGGCAAGAGCAAGGCTGGGACGATGAATCAAGTGCGAATAAAAAAATAAGTTCAACGTCTGGTTGGGATTGGTCTGAAAGCGAGGAAATTAATGACAATAATGTTTCAAACAAAACACCAAGTGATACAATGGAAAATTCCGGTAGCTTGAAAGAAAATTTGGATGATATAGTTATCGACTATGAACAGAATTCAGCAGCTAACAAAAGCGTGAACGAAGATGAAGAACCTGTGAACTCTTCGGCTGTGATTGAAACTGGAGTGTTTCAGACTGAAACTGAACCAATTCAAGGTGGTTCTAAAGTTCCCGATTTAGACCAAACGGGTGTCGATATATCATCTGAAAAAGAGTTCAATGGCTGGGAAAATGGATGGAACGATGGCTGGGATGAAGAGTGGAAAAGTAATGAAAACGAGAAGGCAGTCAAAATAGTCCCGCTAAACGCCGTTTCGGATTTTGAAACCAAAAATCAACATCCTCTTTTGGTAAATGAGGATAATACCTACGCAAACGAGTCACCCCAAAATCTAAATGAGCATAGTCAGTTGAATGCTGCACACAGTGAAGCAACGGGAAGTCAATGGGAACTGCAAACTCCCGAGAACAAAGATAAAGGAACAATTGAAACCACGCCTTTGTCATCAGTCCAACATATAAAACATTTGCAGCCTGAAGTTGAATTGAACAAAAGCAGTTTGCTGACATCAAACGAAAGTGGCTCAAAACCAATTGATGTCAGGACACTGAAAATATCGCCATCTTTTGCTCTCAGAAAGTCTTGCTCGAGACTTCCTGCCTCGAAACTTGTATCGCAGACAGGACTTGAAAAAATGTCGAAATTTCATTTCGTCAACATTGATTTTGAAGAAACGGAAGAACTGCTTAAAACTAACGGCACGGAAGAGCGATCTAGGAAAAAGAGTTTGCCAGTTTTAGACGGAAGAAAAAGTTTAGGAGGCAGTGATGAGAAAGTATCAAATGACAACTTAAAACCAAGTCACCGAAAAAGTGACATTGGTGCAATTAAACTTTTACCAGATAAAGAAAAAACCAAACAGTTTCATCAGAACGATAACTTAAGAGCAGAAAGTTCTCAGGAAGACATAAGTGTTATGTCAACGTCGACTAAGGTTTCTCAGAAGAGGTTACCTGTTTCGAGAGAAATATTTGGCGATTCTGGCAGCTTGAATAACAGCAATGATAGTATAACAAAACCAGTCAATTATTCTTCAATACCGCCTAAAACAACTCCACAGCATGATGTCAAGAGGAGTACACATGTTACACATTCAGAGCAATTAGTTGAAAATGAACGTAATATCGAAGCGGTCCAAAACCAAAGTGAAAACTTACAAAACAGTAACAGTAGCAGTACTGAAAATTTGTCAGCGAAGCCAAGATCTCAACCTGTTGTAGCCACAGAAACTTTTGGGTATGCGTTTCCCAATCGAGTTGAAAATGCGAATACTTTACCTTCAAGACAGCGCAACCATGTATCACAGCTCAGCCGAAATTCATCGTTTACAGAAAGTGATATTGGATACACTCAACACCAACAACAATATCAGAATCATAACTTATCATTTCCTGGAGTATATCCTACTTCATACACGCCTGATGGGCGATACCAGCCCAGACAGATGGCCCCAATTAACAACCCTTTCATGACACCACCGCCTCCCAATTTGGGTGCACCCTTATCTGTTCACGTTCCTCCGATTTCACCTTACCAGAACCCAATGGCATACCAAAACCCGATGATGATGAACCAAATGCAGATGTATTATCACTGGCAGCTCCAGATGCAATGCTACATGAACTATTTACAAATGGCTAGGAGGAGTAAAGGATCTTCGCCTAGACGAACGACTAGGTTTGGATCTATGAGTGAAGCAACATCAGTTAACAATGACGACATCTTAGATGACAATGAAAACGAAGACGATGAGGCGAAAGATGAACTAGCAGAAGACAGACAGACGCCAGAAATGTACGCATCAGTCCACTCAGTAGCAAAGTTTTCGGCCAATGGACGGTTTCTTTTCACTGATAACATTAATGCATCAAGAGCTCAAATGTTTCAAACATCACGCGTAATTCCTGTACCCAAGTCAGTAGAGAAGTTTCCAGGTCCTTTCAGCCGAGATCGGTCGATGAAATCAGACGTGAAGTCCTATTTGAATCATCGTTTAGCCAATGCAGAGAATGGCATCTCTAAAGACTTAATAGTATTAATCAAGTACTTGCTTCTGTTAATTGAAAGTAACGGTGCTGTAAGTGGTTCGTCAGTTGCTAGAATCCTATTGGACGACGACTTAAATGATATTTCAGACGACGAAGATTTAACCGATTTTGATATCTTGGACGCAATTGAGCCAAATGACAACAGATGTTTGATAAACAGCTGCGAATCATTGACGACAGAAACTGATCATTCGAACATGGTTCGCTACGCGATGCTGGGCGATGAAAACAAGCTGTTACAGTATACAAGCGAGCATAATTTGTGGGGATTCGCTTTAAGATTTTCGGTGCTTGGAAATAGCTCCCCAATGCAACGCATGATCGTGGAGTCATTCGACAAAACATGCATTCAAGGAGTGACAAATCCTCTTCAGACTTTCATCCTTCTGAAAGAAAAACGAACCTTTTCTCCAGAGTTTCTGAAAGATTGCTGGAAAAACTGGGAGCAACACGTTGCCATAATGCTGTCAAATCAGACGTCAGATGATGATTACAACCAGCATTGCTTTGCAATACTTGGGAACGCTTTAGAAGCGAACGGATTGAGCATTGCTGCGCAGATATGTTACGTTCTAGCAGGTTTGCAGTTTGCTCTTCCTTGGGAGTCGGATCCCAGATTGATGCTTCTGGGCACCAATGCCAAGACAATGTCGGCAGCCATGAACGATTTCGAAAGCATCTTTCTCAGTTTGTGCTTTGAATTCGCAGTTCACTTGAGGTACCAGGGACAAGATGTGTGCTTTCCCTCATTGCAAAATTTCAAGTTCTTGATCGCGAAACAGTATGTAGAATTTGGTTTACATCTGAAATCTTTTGAGTTTTGTGAAGACATATCAAAGGAGATTTTGAGAAATCCAGTCCATTTCACGACACATTTCATCAAAGAGGTTGTCGAACTTTGCAATTTTTTGAAGTCTTCTGTCGAAAACGAAGTGCCGAATTTCGAATTCGTGTCTCACCTTGAAGCGCTGACTATCCCCATTCCAAGATGTAGAGACACTTTTCCGTCTATAACCGAAGAAATTGGTTACCAAGTGGACGTTGCTGGTCAAAGTGCGAATACCGGATCTTTGATAGGCTCTCAGAGGCTAGATGACAATTTCTTGTTCGAACAGCATGGGCGAAATTTCAGTTACGAGCAGGCTGTAGGATATAATAGTAGTGCCACTACTGAAACTGGCATGTTTTCAAAGTCAAGTACCCTGGAACAACCAGTAGAAGTTTATGATACAAATATGCCATCAGTTGGTCTTGAAACCTCGATTCCAGTGAGCGTTCAGTTACCCAATGCGGAAATTGAGAACAGAGAAGCTGCTGGCTCAGATCTGGGATCGCCCAATGTTTTTGCAGACAGCACAGCCGATTTGAATTACTTGAAAATGGCTTCAACAGATAGCTCTCATTTTTATAGTGCTCAACGTTTCACGAATGGTGGTGGTGCCAACAATAGATCCACTGTTGCATTCGACATGCCAAGTAGTACTGCTAATCTAGGTGAAACGAGAAGTACGTTTGACCCGAGTGTCACAGAACAAGATTATCGAAAGAAGTATCAAAACATTCAGCAGACACCGAAGCTCAAAGTTCAGCCATATTTTTCAGGATCGTCAAACAGCGTGAACAGTGTAGGTTCCCCATTCAGAAAGCGTGAAAACCTATTCCGTGAATCGATAGGATCTGAGGCAAGTGAAATCATTGGCATTGTAGAAGGTGGCGGAAACGTAAATCGAATGAACGCTGGTCCATACACAGCCGAGAGAATCCGCAGAACATCAGAACGCCCTACAAGTGCTAGCTCTGAAATGTCCACGATGTCGTTGAAGTATACGACTCTGATTCGAGAAGCTGATGAGCAAAATGATGATGATAACCGAGCGACTCCGACGAACGAGATGAACAAAACATCATCAAGTGACCCGGCTCCATCCGCAGCAAAAGTTGCACCTGCAGTCCGAAAACCATCCTGGCTCCTACTAGGAATGAAAAATGTCACCAAACGAATCGTTGACCGCATTTTGCCATTGCCAAATCAAATGCATCTGCCTGAAGATAACAGCACGGATTTCTATTTTGACAAGGATTTGGGGAAATGGGTGGATAAAACGAAAGATAGCAAAGAAGAAGAGTTACCGCCCCCGCCTCCTATGGCTGCGATGCCTCAGCCACCAAGTAATGACAAAACAATTCCATCAACAGGAAGCGCCGCCACATACGAATCAGCGAAAACGCAGCAGAATTTTAATGGCTATGATGCAAACACCTCTGCTCCTATTTCGAATACTGGAGTTGCTATGATGCCACCAGTAGCTCCTGGAAACCCATTTTCCAGAGGAAAAGGACTGGCTAAATCGAAGTACGTAGATGTATTAGCATCTTCAAACCAGGTTAACACACGTGTCAATCAAGTGCCAGTGCCTTCATTTATGCCACCGAGTACATTCCCGCCGATGACGTTCTCGAGCGAGGCTCCCCCATTTCCCATGCCGCAACCAGATGATGACCCTGGCTATAACTCAACGCAGCCCAATAGTCAGCCTACACCTGTCCATTGAGATTAAATTGATATTCGAAGAAATTTTGAGTGTTTGCAGCTTTATTGTCTTGTGAAATGGGTTCTGTGTATCGGATCTTTTCAACGAATGCCAGGAATGGTTAGTATTTTTTGTATTTTTGCTTTGCTGAAATCTTTGTTTTCCTTTCGCGGCCAGCAAACAATCAGCCAAGTAATTCGCAGCACTTCTAAATTTGCCAAATTATAGATTCAAATTTTTTGCTTTTTTTAAAGTCGGTTATGGGAAATCGGTGAAATTTTTTTTTTGTATTTCAGCTGAGATCGGACGCAATAAAAGAGTGGTGGAGGAAGCTGTAGGAATTAAGGAGAATCAAATGTCGCAATTGTACATACTAATCGGTTGGTGGTTGACCTAGATTAACGTGACTCATTTATGTTTAATTCAATTAAATCGTATTATCAGGTGCTAAAGTGTGTATAGATTCTGAAGTGAGCTTAATGTCAAAAATATTTAATTCATATTTCAGTCTACCTTTTTTTTGTCCCATCAGAAAGAATTTGAGTGCCAATCTTGCACAAATCTTCACTGTTCCGACATGTTCGGTAAATTTCGATGAAAAAACGATATGAATTGTTGTAGTCTCTCTGATAAACTGGGTAAGAGCTAGCTGAACAAGGAAAATCATATCATTTAAGTACTTTGGGAAGTTTCAGATGAGCTATTGAAAGTCATTGCGCTCTAAAGTTAGCCTTTTCCATTGTCGAACCAATTTTGAATCTGGCTCATTTTTTCCCTCACTCATTGCGTATCTTCCATTAAGAGTCTCTGTGCTTAAGACGTCGTTGGGATCGGGGTCGAGAAAGGTGATAGGCGAATATTTGAACGCACTATTTTTTGAGCTGGTCGGCCGATGTTCTTTTGCATTTATGAACGGAAGTTTAAAAGGTGGGATTTCCTGCAGAGGTGGATCTAGGATTGTCTTGAGGGGGAGGGGCGTATTTTCAAAAAAAAAATTAACTTTTTTTAAAAAACAAGTCGAAAATGTGTTGCGCGCTCCCTCAGAAATAAATTTATATTGGTTGCCGAAAATGGATTTCATAAATTAATTCCAAATGTGTCACTTGCTTCGCCTGTGTCAAGAAGTGTGTCAAGTTTTTGATTCGACAACAAAAGCCAGGAGATCACAAAGCCCCTACCAACAGTAATCTTGATATTAAGAATTTTTCAAATTTTTTGAAGCAGGACAGGCGCTCACAAACTTCAATCAATACTAGTTAATAACTGCTGATTTAGCGCAAATTGAAATAAACTTCGCAATTAGAGCAATTTGCGCCGTTCATTTTAAAGTTTTTTTTTCTCAGCATTTTGGGTTATTTTTTTCGAGCTTTGGGTTACTGTGGTATCTGATAATGATTAGAGTAAAGCACACAAGAACATCAAGTTCCTCTTCATTCCATGGTGCTTAAATAACCGATTCAATTTTCACTTCCCTTAAAGAATTCATCTTCTTTCCCGGATATCTCTAGCATCATCATCTTTCTTGCTCTTATTTACTTGGAATTTGGGCTCAGACCATCTACGGGGTTTACAAAATCTCCCCTTTGCAGAGAAAATACCGTTTTGCAGAAGAAAAAGTTTCATTCAAATTAATATAGCTAACTGGGGCAATTTTACCGGAGTAACTCACAGCAAATTTTTAAATATCATTGATAAAAACTATGTAAGCAAAGCTGAAAATAAGCAAAGAAACGTCATTTTAAGGCAGCAAGGCACCGTATTCCCGCAGGGCGTCATGGATTTTGCACTCCGAATTTAAGCAACAAAACAAGGCGATTGGCAAAGAAGCCAGATAAACTCAGACTAGAAGATTAAAATCTTGTCTTAAAGACCTTCAATCATATCTTAATAAATAAATTACGTCAAGTGAACTCTAGAAAATGGCCCGCTCCTAGAAATATGAAGCAGGATCATTCCCTATCCCTACAAATTTGACAAAGCTCAGAAAAAGGATTAATTTAAATTTGATTGAACGACAATTTCTTTCCAGGTGATATCGGTGCAGCCATTATCAAAGTACTTACGAAAATAAGCACGTTTTTTGTCCCCTACACAGTAACTGTGGCCTTATCTACTCCTGAATTTTATATCAGCGATGGTTTTAAGCAGCGGCGACCTTCTGAAAAGAATCTAATTGCCTCTAACTATTGCATTCGTACTCTATTGATACTGCTTCATGGCAACAGGGTATCCGAGAGCCTAACTAGATGGCTAGCGAACTAACTCAAACGTCGGCAAGCCAAGAGGCAATCAGGGATGCCTTGTCCACATCCAGAGTTTATACATACAGGTGTCTTTTAAAAATCAGTCATTTCACCTACTCTATGATTTTCTATGTGAACGATGCAGCCAAATTTCCCCCAGACGAAAAACTTGGATTTTACGCCGATGACTTCCACCCCTTCGTCGAATCCCGCGACATAAAAGACGCCTCCACGACACTGACTAGCCATCTCATTGAACTGAGTGACTTTTTTTGATAACAGTGGGTGTTTTTTCCTTCAGAGGTTCAGTCAGTTTCTTTACATCACACACAAAAAAAACTCAATTCTGACTCTAAAGTAACAATACGTGGCTCTGTTTTACCCGTGAAAAAAGTACCCTTAAATCCTCTAAGTATTTTTTAAACTCATTCCTGATTTTTTTTCGAACTCTGCTGGCAAACTACAAAAAGCCAGGCGCTTGATAACGGTCATGAAGGCATGGTTTCAGTCGAAAGAGGCTCATTGTTAATTATTAAACGTCTTAGTTTTATACCCAAGCTGTAGCAAATATAAAAGCAATATGCTGTCCTTAGTTAATTTGGAAGGATTTACTTTCCCGCTTACGCTATATTAAAACGAAATTTAAAGCGAGTGTTTATCTCAATTGGAGCTCAAGTAGTTTTGTATTCCCAAATTCAAAACATTTTAGCTTTGCGAAAAATGATCACAAGTGAAATATCGTTTTAAGTTTAAGCTGAGGACAACTATTTTTCATTTGGAAGAGTTTTTAGTCAAAAACTGTCGAAATTTGACTGAGTAAAAAATCATTCCAAGCATAAATTTTCTGGACTTCATTAACACTTGCGAAGCGAATGTATTTGTACGAACTTTCTTTTTTTTTCAACGTAAATCGCAAATGTTGGTGCATATTTTGGGGCACATTTTCAGCTTTTTTCATGGCATGTGCTTTGACATTCAAATAGTAATAATTTAACACAGTTGATGCATTGTAAGTTCATCAATTGAACCGAAAGAAGTGATTTGTTTCAAAGAGCAAAAGAATAATAAAAACTCGATTTCAGAAGTTATCTAACTCACTATATCTCGCAATTTTTTGAAATGCATAATTTCTACATAATGTGGCTTTATGCCTTGCAATTTTTTACACGCAAAGTTACTGTGGATGCCTTCAATTTGTTATATTTCAAATTGTTACTTGCAAAATTGAGTCTATTTGTATTTGGTGCCACTTTTGCTGAATTGTTTTGGCAATTCATTAGCACATGTAGCTGCTTTTTTTATGAATAGTGTTTGTCGTTTGTTAAGCTTGCGTGTCTGAGTGGATAGTGAGTGAGAATCAAAATCTTGATTGCACTAGGTCATAGATTCGAATCCTACATTTAGCCAAGTTTTTGCTAATTCCAGGCTTATTTTTGCTTTTTCGTAATTCACTCGATAAAGCTGCTTTTTTGGCCGTGTTCTCGCAAGTGTTTGCGAAGCCCAGCTTTGCCTCTGTCGAAAGCTGGATCACTAATTTTTAACCAGCAAATGCTTGTGCTGTTCTACGGGTTCAATTGTTTCCAAGTCAAGGTGATATTTTTGTTCCGTTGAAGCGTAAATGGCGATTTAATCCGGCTTTGAAACAGCTTCAGGTTCAATTGAGGCAAGCTATTTGGAACTTTAATTACATTGCTATACGCTTATATTTTGCACTTTACATAGCGTGTGGAGATTTTAGAAAAAATCGCAAAAGTATCAGTTTTGTCCTTGTTTTAGCTTTTTCTCTTAACATTAATGGCCAATCGCAACATTCAGGGCTTAGTCTTGATTCGATCAGTCTTGTATTCAATTTTGTTGTTCAATTATACTGCAGTCTGCTAATGAACTCGAGCTAACTTGCGACAGTTGCTTGGTCAGACTGTTGTAATTAATCCAGAAAGCAAGAAAGTTTTAGTGCATGGTCTGACTTTTTTCTGCAGTCAAATTTCTTTTTTGGTAGGAGTTTTAAACGGATTTTATAATAGCAGCTGACAGGCATCTATTTCTTGAGCTGAAAGCGAAAGATATGTTACCTCTGATCTGTTTTTTTTTTCAATTTACGGGATTCAAATGAGGCAAGCTATATAGCCTTATCAACTAATCGAGATTTATATTTGTTAATAACATAGCGCCTGGTCTGCTACAAAAAAAATAACGGTGTATTTTTGTTCACTATTCAAAGCAAGTTGCGAATGTGTACAAAGACTCAGTTTCCTCTAACGTTATCTGTGATATTTTGCTTGTGTATGCGAAGTTCGCCTGGAAATTCACACCGACTTTTTTGCTAAATTTTTTGGATGATTTGATTCGCAAAATTGCGCTAAAAAGCTCCAAAAACTAGCTTTACTTGAGTAAAACTAAGTTTTCACTGGTCAATTAAGCGTACATAAGCTATTGTAAGCCTGCATGCTCACTTATTAGCTCGAAATTAGACCAAAAATTGATAGAAATTTTCAAGTTTTCTAGTGTCGTTCGAATCAGGACTGAAAAGGCTTGAATATGATATATCCCCCGTTCCATTACCATGATTGTTTGTTGTATTTGACTTTGCGTGGAAAACAAAAAGAAAAAGCAAAAAAAATTAACTAAAACACACGAGTACAAAGCTCCTCCCGTTTTCAATGGTCGGAACAAATAACTAATATACAATCAGCATAAGACCAAGGTAAACACTGCATTGCTGGATAGCGCCATAGTCTCTGAGCGTATAATAGTAATAAATTTTATTAGAAGAAACAAATAGAAGGATAAATCATTTATTGTTCCGACTACTTAACAAACTTATAAGGAGCGGAGCTATGGCGAAGGGTGTCTTTTTCTCTCTCTGTGAGAAAAACTGTTGTTCAGTTTTTTTGATCTTCTGACTAACTTGTTAAACTAAAGTAATTTCTTATTTCTCAATTTCGCAGCTGAATTTAGTTGTAAACAGTTTTGCCATTGCCTTTTAAAGTTGCTTTTAGCTATCGCTGCTTTTTTTAAAATCGGTTTTTCGGTTATCCTAATGCACCAAATTTGTGCTTCTTACTTTTCGCTTATTTTGCTATGGAAGTTTTCTCACAATGGAAAAGCACGGAAGAGACATTGTTCAAACTTTCGGAGAACGCAACGGAACTTACATGCATGGTTTTTTTTCAGACCAAAAAATTTTCGTGCTATAATTTTTGGTAAAATTCTGGGGGTCTGAAAATTCAAACCGCGTTTCCTCTTTTGTTCATGCTTTGGAAATTTTGCAATCGTTTTCGCTTATACTCCTTAATCAGCCTCTTTCTTTACTGCTTTTGCTTTAAGCGGGACAATACTGGTTGTAAATCATATAGGACAATATTTTAGTGCTTGCAGTTTTTGACTTGTTCAATTGCCCTCAAAAGTTCAGGAAATTATAAAAAGAACAGTTTCTTCATTTCGTCGTTTTTTACTCATGATGGTCGGAACAGTTTGCGCAACCGTCTATTCTTATTTAGAGAATTCAAAATCAAAGCCACAATAATTAAACGAAAATTACAAAATAGGTTGTCCTAAGCTGTCAATGCGGTCATGGAAATACCGCTGATATATTATGAATGGTTATAAAGGCAAGATCCGAGAATATTTCTTCTAGTTCACCCATTCCTGGACTACAATATGGTTTTTACCTTGCCTGGACATTTTTGTCAAAGTCAAAATGAATGATTTTGACTTAAGCAACGCTTGTTTGTTTTTTTTTCTAGTTAAGTGTTTTCATAATAGGTGAAAACCACTCTCGACGAATTGATTTTTTGCGTAGCTTACACTAATGTTCTAACCATTTCTAATAAGAAAACTATATCAGCCAAAAAAGACATTCGTTTCAGAATAAATTGTTGATTTGCTTCTACTAATATTAAGTAAGCTATGGGTGGCCAGCAGCTGCTGTGGAAGCAAATTGCCAGACATCTATCATCTCATGAAAGCAAAATGACGAAATTGGCATCATCTGCTCCTGTTTTATTGCGGCGACGTGAACGAAATCGTGATGAAAAAGATGACTCGAAATATCGTCAAAATTTTACTTTTATGGCAATTGGAATAGCGAGTGCTGCAGCAGCTGCGCCTTTCGCGTTATCCGACAGTCGAAAGACTACAAAACACGAAGAAATCATCAACCATACAGCGGGAAAACGCGTGAAAAATTTGCCGACGTACCGTCTAGAAGACGTGAAAGCTCACAAAACTGTTGAAAAGGGAGTGTGGATGATTTTTGGCGAGGGCGTTTATGACGTAACTGAGTTTGTGGAAAATCACCCGGGTGGGAAGACTGTCATGTTGGCGGCGGGTGGGGACGTGGGGCCCTATTGGAACACGTACTCTCAGCACCACACGGAGCAAGTGTATGATATGCTGGAAGAGTATCGAATTGGCAATTTGCACCCGGAAGATGTGAAAAGTTAGTTAATTTGAGATAAAATTGAAACTTTGAATAACTGAAAATGCATTCAGTGGTATGCATATATCAATGCGTTTATGTTTTCTTTTCTCGCGTATCAATAATAGTTACTAATCATAATGGATGTTTGAAATGATACAAATTTTCATGTGTATACTCCTGATTTTTATATTGTCATTATCCTGATAAATAAAAATAGAGTGAATGGCAATTTTTATGTATTTAGATTTTTCCCCGAATATTGATAGTCCCTTTGTATGAAAGAAATGCTCGTTTAAGAATGGTGAGCTTGCACTGAATGACTGAATGATTCACAAATGTTTCAGCAATCCACGAAGCGTAAATGTACTTTTAAACGCTGATTAGAAATTAATATAATTGATGACTGATGTTATAATTGACTGAGATTTGCTTGCTATGTTTTTAGAGATGAATAAAGGTTTGTTCATAGTCTTCTATATTGAAAACTCTTGGATAGATTCTTGCTATTCTAGCAATTATTGTCAAGGAGTTTAAATGGGAATGTGAAATGATTTCAAAAGTGAAATTATTTCAGAACTGAACGATACGTCTCGGTCGGTAAGAGATGCATACTCAAACGACCCTAAAAGACATCCGGCTTTGCTGGTCCGACAACAAAAACCCTTCAATGCAGAGACACCTCCACTCATAGCAGTCCAAAATCAAATCACGCCTCAGCCTTTCTTCTTTGTGAGGAATCACATGCCGGTGCCAGATATAAAGGCAGAAGATTACAGACTGCATATTGGGGTTGACAGGAAAACATCAAACCAAGATAAAGATGACTCTGAGTCTTTTTTGAGGAGTTTGACCTTGGATGACCTCAAAGAGAAGTTCAAGCCCAAAACAGTGGAAGCGACTATTCAATGCAGTGGAAACAGACGGGATGATTTCAATAAGCTCAAAGTATGATTTTTGTTCAAAGTTCAAAGTAAGTTCAAGAAACCTCTTGAAGCATGTGTTCTTTCTGGAAAAATAGATTTTGCATTCAATCTTATCCCAAATCATTCAATTCAGGTGGGTGGTGGACCCTCACCAACCAATGGGTCCCCCATTTGGTATTATTTCATGACATCACGTTTTGGCAGACCAACCCTGAAATGTATACTAATTTCGAAGAGGAGCGCGCTCCGAAAAAACGCGATTTTTTATCAACATTTTCAAAAAGCCCAAAAACGGCATTTTTGGCCCGTTTTTTTGTCACAGCAGGAAATTTGGTCAAAATAGGGTCTTTAACGAAATTTAAGAGAGCTCAAAAAATCTTTGTGATCGACCTAAAAAAAGGTTGCCAAAATTTTGAACCCCTCCCCCTCTCGAGAAAAAACTAGATTCAATTATTTTTCTACGCATTGAATGCTTGTGTTATGATACGAAATTTTTTTCAACACGAGTCACAGATTTTTGCGTCTAATTTATGTGCTCAGTTTAATGCAGTAAATGCATAGAAAGCAGCAGGAAAACACAATAGCCTTAATACAGGCTATTGCCATTATTATTTCTACCACTTCACGAAGTGAAATGAACGAACTATGATGTGTTCTTTTGGGTGTTTTTTTTTCTTCCCGAATTTGTTTTCCTTAAAGAAAGCTCGTAGGGGGGTAAAGTGTGATATCATTATTAAGCCTTTGCAGCCGTGATTCGAGATCCAGAAAAAAATATTTCACATTGTCAAGAAAAAAGGTTCTCAATTTTTCAGTCTATTTGTTATTTTTTAAAATATTTGAGCTATTATTACGCCTTTTTATTGCTTGGTAACAAGTTTGATTCACTCTCATTATTTCCTTAGCTACAAAAAAAAACAGCCGAGTGTTTAGAAAAATACATAAAAGTATTAACCTGGCCCGAATATTCTGCGCTAGTTGCCCAACTACCGACAATTTTTGTCCCAAACTTTCGTGTGGTTGATTTTGTTTGTCGGTCAACTCGACCTATTAACCAGCCGTTTCCACTAAGAAAAGATATTTCACCCATTATTGGATTGTTTTTCCTGAAGTTTTGGGATTTGGAAGTTTGGAAGTAGCCAATATTAATTTATTAAAGCTCGGTTTGTTTTGCTCCATTAAGGAGCTAACTGCAAATTTATCCAGCCCGAATAGAATTGAAAAATAATTTGAGGCAACCAATTAGGTTTTACGAATCGGTGAATAGATGCGAATTATTTTAGCTTGTACTTATCATAGCGTGTGGAGTGATTATAATAAAATAATCTGATTTTTTTTTTCACTTTTGAAGTTCTGTATTCAGGCGATCTTGTATATAATATGTACAAGAGCGCTGTATAATGCTGTCAGCTTTTTGTGAAAATCTGAACTAACTCGCAAATTTTAGTGCATAGCTCTTGGGCAAAGATGGTTTGTCGAAAAAGTAATTTAAGAATTGGTAATTTAAGAACTTTCTCGGCTTAGTTATGTACGATTATTATATGCATTCATGTATGATCCTTAACGCGTTGGTGCAATATATTTTAGTGCGACGAATTTATTCAAAGTTCAATTTTTCCACAAAACTTGCAACTCACAGTTTATAACGCTGTAGCATGTACCCAAGGTTTTGCAGTTCCTTGATATTAAAAGTTAAAATATACAGTTGCCAGCTCGTAACTTAACGGGTATCCATTTTAAAATTTTTGATAAAACTTTTTTTTAATCCTTCTTCGATTAGGCCCTTGTCTTAAGCATATTGAAAAGTCAAGATCTCCGGTAGACTTCTGATTGCCTTTCAAAACGTTTTTTCCTAAATGTCTCTTTCAGCAGGTTTAATTTACCTTACGAGTTTGCGTAGTGGATCTTCAAAGCTAAATAACTTGATCAAAAAATATTCACTATGGATATTGTATCGGTCGTTGTACGAATTTCAGTAACTCGTAGACATGAAATGAAGCTCATGCGCTGCTAGCAGTAGATTTTCCACCAATAAAGGCCAACTAATTGTTCCAATTTTTACTAAGCTCATTTTTTAAAAACTTTTTTAGTCGTTTTTTTTGCTTTTAGAGCTATTTTGTTGAAGTTTGTTGTCATAATCAAAACTCAAAGTGATTTGAGAAAACACACGCAGACCAGATTTTAATCAGCTTGATCTGAAATATATCTGTTTGTGTCTGCGAAGTTCAAATTTGTGTGCCTAACCACACTTTTCGTAACTAATTATAAATCTAATTTGAAGTTTTTATTAATGATAATTTGTAAAATCTGCTGACTGCTTCAGGAAGTGAAGGGATTGAAGTGGAGTTTGACTGCGATCTCAAATGGTACCTGGACTGGAGTCCTGTTGAGAGATGTCCTTTTAAGTTTGGGTCTGTCCGAGGAGGAGATGCGCCTTAAATACAGTCACGTGCACTTCGAGGGGTATGACTCATCGGATGATGGAACTGCATACGAGGCCAGCATACCACTCCACAAAGCCCTCAGTAGGTATCGAACTTCGTTCTTTTTGTGGCTTTTCTAGGTCGGCTATATGAAGACAACCTTGTGATGACCGACCGTTCTTAAGATGCTTATGATTATTTCATTAGATGGTTAAAGTTGGTTATTTTAGTAAAGAGATAGACGATGATATGTAATGATGTGACGTTTTTGCAGGTCCTGAAGCTGACGTGCTACTTGCTTGGGCTTTAAATGACGAGACCCTTTCCCGAGACCATGGCTACCCTATCAGAGTAGTTGTTCCAGGTGTTGTGGGCGCCAGGTGTGTTTTATTTAGTGTTGATTCTTAACCATCAAAGAATTAAACGAGAGAAATTTTTGCCATTTAAAGCCAGACAAATTTGCGCAACTTAATTCGCGTAAGTTTTGAACAGAAATGACCTTGCAAATGACTTCAATGAAACGTTTCATGCCAAAATGAAATGGCCTTGCCAATATTTTCAATGAATCATTCCAAAATGAACCAAAAACAAGCAATAGTTCAATGAACTTCAAAAGCCCGCAAATAATTAGACGTCCTTTGATTAATATGGCCTAATTTTCTAGACAATTTCATCCGGTATAGAAATTAAAAAAAAGGTTTAACCAATGCCAAAAAACTTAAAATCATTATTCTTAGAATCATTCTCGAACTTAAACTTATGACCTGATCGCTTTGTCAGCTTTTTTTGAACTGTTGGCACATAAACGCAAAGCTAAAGGTTTTGCCAGCCCGTAGTCCCAACCTAGGATCCCGAAAATAAGGGCGATTGTCCTGGGATTAAATTGCTAAGGCACGAGTCATGTTCTTGCGTTTAGTTACGTTTCCGGGAGTCTGCAAGGAAACGTCTTTTCAAAAAAAGCTGACAAAAATTTCAGTAGGATTAAAATTTGAATTTTAATAATACGAAAGAATAAACAAAAATGAAATAAAATTTACAATGGTTCAACCCAAGCTAGATAACGCTCTGAAAAAGTACAGATCAGTTTTGTCTTCGTAAACGGACATTATGTTTTGTACTCTTTCATTTAATACTCGATACTTTTTCTTTTTTGTGAACTTATGGCCACTCGATGCATCAAAAAAGTAAATTAGGAAGCCTCCTTTTAGCATGTATAACTAAGATAAACCAAGTTTTTCATTATGGTGCTTGTGTTAATTGCAGGATTAACTTTGGTGTGATAAGAGTTAAGATAAGGAATTCATAAAGCATTAGAATTCATAGTGAAATGACTAGGTGTTAAAATGTACTGTATTAAACTGGAAAATAGGAGTTATATTGTTGCCTGTGAAAATTGATTGATAATGAAGAAGTAGAGTTTGTGTGTAAAATATCAAGTTAGTCGAAATCGTCCAACAAAATTTAAAATTATCTCATCGTACATTTCTCATCAAACCAATTATTCGTACATGCATACATGGAACAGGTGTGTGAAGTGGCTGAAGAAGATCACTGTTTCGGACGAAGAGTCTAGGAGTCATTGGCAGCAGAAGGACTACAGAATGTTCCACTCCTCCATCAACTGGTCCAATGTTGACTGGTCCAAGTCACCCTCTGTCCAGGTGAGAACATAAGATGGGCAATATGTATTATAATTAAAATGAAATTTGTATGCCAATGATTGTTAAAGAATAAATTTAGTGGCGAATTTTTTCGAAGGAAAATATGCTATAAAGTTAAGCATGGGTATTTCATATTGAGTGACGCTTTTTTTTACTCAAGATTTGAGATTTGAATTTCTATCAATGCTTGTTTAAATTTTTGTGTTAATATTCATGTGGTGCGCTGCTATGTGATCGTTGATAGACTGATCGTTGATAGACTGAATTTTCCCGTTGTGTTCAGGAATGTCCAGTTCAGTGTGCCATTTGCATCCCATCTTCTGACTCCTCCATCAAATTGGACTCCGATTTCGAGTTCAAGGGCTACGCCTACAGTGGAGGGGGCAAAGGGATAGTACGTGTGGACATCTCACTTGACGGGGGAGACACTTGGCACCAAACTGACCTTGAAGACACGGACCAGAAAGCGCCAAATGAGTACGGATGGAGGTTGTGGTCATTCAATGCTAGTCCAGAGATGCTAAAAAAGAGTTTAAGAGGAAAAAGTAGTGAACTGGAACTAGTTGTGAAGGCTACGGACTCATCGCATAATGTAATGCCTAAAGATGCACAAGATGTTTGGAACATCAGAGGTATAATGAACAACTCGTGGCACAGAATCAAAATAAAAGTTCAGAATTAATTGGTAGTTTAACTGCTAAAACTATTTATTTAGACTTCTCAAACGACATTCTATCATATCTACTGCGAAAGAGTTTTTTATGGGAGCCATTGATTTATTGGTTTGCTCAGAGGTTTTGTTCTAATTTATCGTTCGACAGTAGTGACGAATTGAAACAATTTTTGTGTATAATGGTGTCCTTCAAACATGCTTTCTGATTCATTCGTCTATCATAGTTATCACATATTTGTAACTTTTGACGTATTTTCCAAAAATATTGAAATCAGATTATATTTTCTTACCACAGTATATGGAGCTTTTAAACAAACACTATTCGGAAATAGCGATGTCTTGCATCAATTTATATTTATCAAATTTATTCTCTTCCGTATTCTAGTTTTGACTTTTAAGTGTCAATGAGGGCACAGTTGATAAGTTTAAAACAGTGGGTGTTTAAAACACTTTTAAAAGACTGTTTTTAGCGTCTGTCTTCTTAAGCTGTTTTTTTAAACAATGATATTTGAGTTGTTTACGTTTTGAACACAGAAATTTACCAAACCTGAATGCCAGTGATAAAGTTTTTTGAGGTCGTGCTGATTCTTTTATTCGTTTTTTTATTTGGATTAAATTTTTTTCAGTTTTGATTTTTTCGGGAATTTGAGCAAAAGTTATCTAATTGCCGAAATTGTCGCATCTGTTAAGGATGATGGACGGAAAAGCTGGTTCCAGGAAGACGGTAATTATCGCTATTTTAGCAGTGTTACCGTCTTAAAGAGTTCATTTTTCTAAAGAGGACTTGAGCTGATTTTTTAATTTAGTATATTGGTTGAATGGCTCGTTTTTGCAATAGTTATTTTTTTCATGAAATTATGGTCGGGAACTAGACTTTTCCCACTGAAAAAATCTTCTGACAAATACGTATGAAGGACGTGCATATGTTAAAACAGATGTCTCTATTTAAACAAAAGCTGACGCAAGATTAAATAAGATGGTTCATATCAGGGGCGGATCTAAGATTTTCTCAAGGGAGGGCGGATTTCGAAATCTTTTTTTTTGAAGTCTATCAAATTGATTTTCCGTCCTCTCCCGAAGCACAAAATACCCTTTTTTGACCAAAATTTCTGCGCCGCAGGCAAAAAGGCACTTTTTGGAAAATTTTGACCAAAAAATCGCGTTGTTTTAGCGCGTGCTCCCTCCTTAAAATTAATATATAGTGGCGCTAAAGGCGCCTTTAGAAAAATTTTCAAAGCCCCGCCGGCAGGGGGTTGAATTCCTGAGGTGGGGGGGGGGGGGGGTGTCAGCCAAACAACCCCTTCCCTAAATCCGCACCTGGTTCATCTGCTTAGTTGGTTCATATTATGTACTAATGAAGTTTTTTAGATCAACACCTAGTTTAAAAAGTGTCTTTTTTGGATTTGTGGTAAGTTACAGTTTTTTGAACTTTTTTGTTTTTGTGCTGTTTATAATTTAGACCTTGTCGTTCATATTAAGTACTAAATAAGGTTTTGAATGATGTTTTATGGAACAATCTGTTGCATATTTATTTCCTTTTTGTGATTTTGTTCCAGTTTTTGTCGGCTGTTTCCGATTTTGTTTTGAAATGCCATCTGTATTATTTTAAAATGCTTGGTATTTTAAGCCGATGATCAAGGGCTCACAGATTTTTTGTCCCGATGTATTAAGAGATTTTTTTAAACTGAAAGGTTTTGATGTGTAGAGGTATAGCAACACTTAATTGTCTATGTAAAAAACTAAAAATTGAAATGTTGCCACCTGTTTATGTAAACATTCTTTTTCTTCTGTCAATGGGTTTTTATTTTGTTTTTTTTCCGTTGCTGATAAATTATTTGTTCAAAGTCTTGTCAATGGGTTGGTTTCACAGTTGTTTGCTTTTTGTTCAAAAACTTTCTGTGAAGAGGTTGTTTTCACAAAGTTTTATTTTCTTATTGTTTTCTGCAAATTTCTTGAGGCTTTTGTTCGAATTTTTTTAAAAATTGATTTTGATTCATTTTTTTTTCAGTTTTTTCTTCATTTCAATTAAGCATCGGGCGCAATATTGAGAAAGACTAATCATTGTTGATACTGGTTAAATATTGTTTAAAGATTAAAATTGAATTTTTTCAAATATATTTTTTAAGTTGTTAATTTAAAGTCTTTTAACCACGGTTTTTTGAACGAACCTCAAATTTGTTAAATCATTGTCTTCTCAATTTCCTGATAGTTCGGGAATTCGATTACTGGAGCTTAGTAATAGCCCGAATTTTCCTAATTGTTCAGGTAATTCATTTGCATTAAAAAAAATTAGTCGACGATTTTTTGAACATCGAATTTTTGTTTTTATTTCATTTCCTCGTTAAACAATGTAATGACTGAAAATTAATGACATCAAGGAAGCGAAAACTGAGTTTTTCAAAAGTTTTTAGTATTTTATAAAATATATTTTTGAAATTGATACCGTTAATTCGTTCCAAAATTCGGATTAATTCTGGTGCGTTGCTTGGCTTTGTGTTCTAAGTATGACAACATAAAACTAACATCATTTGCAGATTAAATCTGACTTATAATTACCTTTTCATCAGCATGTAACTCGCTCAAATATCCTGCTTTGTGTTTTCATGAAGTATCGCTCTACACTTCACCGATTTTTGTAGCGTCGGAAAATATATATTCAAGCTAGTTAGAGGCCAGATTGCTCCTTGAGTTATAAACATACCCTTGAACTAGATATTTATGTAGTTAAAATCGGAATTATGTTGAAGAGGGATTGGTTGAAAACGAATTAGATAGGGACTATCAAACACAGATACCCTTTTTGGGCCGCCCTCCAGGCTCTTCTGAGACTCATCGACCAGCAGCAGATCAATTACGCTAATCGATTTCCAAACGAAGAAGTAAGCAGGCTGATAATTTGTGGCTCTTGCTTTTCAGCGGTTAAATAACAGTCATGCTATCAAAGTTCAAGTTTGATAAGATTTGAAAAAATATACTCGGGGGGAAAAACTCCGTCCAAAATGTGTTCAGAAAGAGAAGTTGTTGTGCGGTGCAAATAGTGCAACAGTTCTTGCATCAATTGTGAATAGGTTTTTCACCATAACTTATATCTTAAAATTACCCGTTTAGCCATAATCATACATAAAGCAACTATAAATTAAGAAATTTTAAAAGGTCGTGGAAGTATTCACTGTTAAGCCATTTAAAAAATGTTTTTGTAGCAACCTAATCCCCAGTAAATAGTTGACTATTCAGATTGGTTTCCCCATGAACCGTCGTCTCTTTAGAAAAGAGAGTGAAAGTTTTACTTAAATTGCTGAATCATACGATGCGTTTCGTAACTGTTGCTTGAAACTTTGATGTTAAAAATCTTTTTTTTTTAACTATGTTTTGAATCGTAATTGCATTCAAGCTAATTAGAAATGACTGTTTTTATCCAGTGTTTCAAAAAAAAGTTAAGAGAAATTGTATTTTTGGCTCGTGTTGATTAAGAGTAATGAACATAGTGAAGACTCTTATATAGGTCTTGCTGATTTTTTTTGTTTTTTTTTCTAGGACAAAGTCAAAATATTGATGCACTTAGGTATAATGCACTTCTTGAGTACAATTGAAATTCATCTGCTGAAAATGACGTAAAGAGCACTCTCGAAATACGAACGTGGAAACGGCGAGAAAAAACATGGACAATATCTAGTTTCGAAAGTGGAATATAATTTTTAGATTTCCAGCGGAATAAAAACTTAACCTAATGATCCAAGTTTCTCTAGTTGGGTTCATATTATCAAAAAAGCGCTCTGCAAAAATGGTTCTAGAAATTCAAAGAGCTCGAATGGCATCTATTTTTTTCTTTGAAATTCGAAAGTTGAGATTATTACAACAAAGTCAGTGCTTTTGTTCTGTTTTTGTTTGCGTTCATTACTCTTTTCCTACGGGTAGTTGGCTAGGTTTTTTTAAATAACAGCAGCTTGAGAATGAGATATTTTTTGAACTAAAAAAATTAACTATAATTCACATAAAGTTCTTTTGAGCCGAGGCTTTTTTGATTGGATAGGTTTTAATCTTTTCAATTAAAATGGTAAAAGATATGCGACATGCGAATTCTGCCCGCGCGCTTACAAAATTGTCAAAGTTACTTTTTTTTAAGTAAAATTACTGTTAGATTGTGCATATTCTGGGAAAAAAAGAAACAGCCTGATTTTTACGAGTCCATCTAGGTCGGCTCATCTGTAGATTAAGTGACTCTACTGTAGTACACTACATACCTTAGTACGTACTGTTAAGATTGGCTAATTCATACAATGAGCAGAAAAAGAAACAAACTATCAAGCTCAAAATAACTCGAGCTCGAAAGAATTAGTCCGTCTTTTGGCTGAAAACCCAAGTCCTGTAAAATCGGATAACCCCCTCCCAATAAGAAGTAAGGACGCTAGTCCATTTGCCCCCCCCCCCCCCAATGAGCACAGGGGCCCGAAACTTATGAATTTGATTGGTAGTGACAAGAGACATGTATTGTAGTTCGAAGCAAATCCCACGGCTGAAACAGTAGTTATTAGCGCTTGGGAAAACACCCCTTACACGGGAAACAGGCAATTTACGCAAAAAATGAGAGGGGGCATATTATTTTTTTTGGCGGCAACAGACACTAAACACTAACCTCAAAAATGACCCCTGATGAATCAAAGCCCTCCGGCGACTCCTTCTGGCTTTAATAGTCTTTTCCCGGAAAAACTGATAATGGATATTAAACGCAGGATAACATAAAAAGTATTGATGGGACATGGTTGAAACTTCGTAGATAAGATCCGCATGAGATTCTTATCCCAAATATGGAGGATTGATCTCGGAGTGTTCTTCGGAGTGTTCTTTAAATGACTCTGGCGTTTTGCCCAAAATTGCATAGAAATCCTCAAGATTACAACTGGAAAGGGACCCATTCCTCAGTCTCAACCGTTAATGATGAGAGTCCTTCACCTTACTTATAATTGGGAAGGGTTTTTGGGAAGGAAGCAAAGTTAAAAAAAAGTTATGGCTCTTGAATTGCTACGATGAAATAATATATTGAGTTCGAATCAAATTAAGCTAACATTGGATTGAACTGAGCTGTGACAGTTTGACTATTAATACCGACTTGATTAGACCAAAGAAAATTAGCCCCACCGGGGATGGCAGCAATAAGGGAGTGGCACGATATTTATTTTTGAATAATGTGATCAGCCGGGGTAGTTTTCAGCTCCCCAGGTAGTTGTTTGGCACAATTGGAACCTTAGTAGACGAATTTCCCCTGATAGCTAGAAATTTGGGATTGAAATAGAGCATCGATGGGAATTTAAAGAGTTTACGTTTTGGTACCTGAAACTGG